GTATCTGTCACTTCTGTCCAGCAGTGGTTTAACAATGCTGCTTCCATTATAGCTATCAGATTTCACATCTTATTTCCTCATATTCTTTTCCATTATAACTCACTGACTTTCAGACAAAGCCATTAAAAGGATAAATACCACATGATCACTATATAAATCAAGGGCACGGGAGAGTCACCCAGTAAAATATAGGTCCATTTCCTAACGTGGGAATTGAAAGGCTAACCCTGAATTTTCATCAAAATGGATATTTTACCCCTAGAGTCAGGAGGGCAGTTACAATCGACCTCAACTGTTGAACGAGACACATTTTCAAGGTTATTTTCAAAGTGATCTAGGCATTTTCATTTCGGTCAGCTTTGGTCCTGACATTCCTATTAAAATAGAAGATACTGGCAGCAATTGGAGTTTCAGCTTTGCACACCAAGAATTAAGGCAAAGATTGTTCTGGTTTAGGATGGTGCGGTGGATTGTACTGGTGCGGTGGCTGCAATGATCCCTCCCAGTCCCCTTATCCCTTTGCAATGTCCCTTGGCCCCTCTTCCCATCAAGAAGTGGGATCTACTTCCTTTCCCTTCCACTGGGGCTGGTCCTGATTTGCTCTGACCAACAGAAGACAGTACAACTACTGGGTGGATTCTGAGTCTCAGCCTGAAAAAGCCTTGCAGCTCCCATTTTTGCCCTTGTGGAAACCCAGCACCACATAAAAGAGCTGAGGTGAAGCCAGTGAATGATGGAAGGCCGCACAGAAAGAAAGTGGCCACATGAGGGAGAAATGAGGACACCTCAGCCAACAGCCAGCACCAAGGCCCCAGATACGTAAGCGAGGCCGTCTAGGATCCTCCAGCACCAATCTTGCCCCCCACCAGTAGACAATACATGGAGCACACGGTTACCCTGGCAACCCATGAATTTTTAAGAATTAATAAATCACTGTCATTTCAAGCCACTAAGTTTTGGGTGAGTTATTACACAGCAATAGATAACTAAACAAATGGGGAGTGGGCATCTGGTGTTGCCTGTCCAGCATCCTTTCACCATCTGGTAACAGCAGGTCAGCTGCTTCAGGGAACCCCTTCTCCTACTCTCGGTCCACAGGATTCAGGTAAACCAGGCGCATGTGTCTCCCAGGTCTGGACAATCGCCTGCCCCATGACCCAAATTAATCCGAAGAGGCTCAATCCTCAGACTTCTGCCTGAGCACCTCATGCTGGCCTGCAGAGCTGGGGGGAAGGAAACCCAGAGCTCTCATGAGGAGGAGACTGCCTGCAAGGGAAGTGAGCCAAAGCTGAAGACAGATGAAGGTCCTGATGATATCACTGGAGACCACGAATCCAGCTGTACCTCCAGAGAGCTCCATCCCCGGACTTTTTGGTCACATGAACCAATACGTCCTCCCTCCTGCCCCTTTGGTTTTTTCTTAAGCCAGTTTGTCTTGGCTCTCTCTGCCCCTAGGGGAATTCTGGCTAATGTATGATGTTTCCTAATTTCATCTTATCTCAATAAAAATGAAAAAGCACCAGGGAACATACTGTCAACTGCTCTCATCAGAATGAGGATAAACAATTACATCACATTTCCAAGTGCACTAAAACTTCTTCCTTGATACTTACCATTTTTATAAATCCATTAATCAAATATGCCAGCATTCTTTTCTCATCCTCAAGCGTGAGTGCACTGAAATCAATAATTGTACATAATTAACACTGAGGTAATACATGAGCTTCTAAAGTAAAAAATACATTAAAAGGAAAGCAACTTAACAGGTAAGGGCATTTTGTATCTTAAAGGTATAAAAAACTCCAACATCCTATACATTTTTCTTTTGATGATAATTTGTAACCTAAAATAATATAATTTAAGTGGGTTTCTCATGTCTCTCAAACACATCAAAGAAGCCATTCTCAAGATTTATCTATTAACCAAGAAAAAGAGAAGGCAACTTTCTCTTCTTTGAACTTTGGGCAACAAGGTCTAAGTTCAAATTCTGTACTTCACAGAAATTTTGTCGATAGTTAATTATGAAAAATTTCAAACATAAAGTTGAAAGAATTTTCCACTGAACAACCATATATCCACCACTAAGATTCTACCATTTACATTTTACAGTATTTGCTTTATAACTATTTCGCTCTCTCCACCCATCAGCCCATCTTATTTTTAAGATGCATTTCAGAGTGAATTGTAAGAATGCCACACAATTCTATTTAACAGATGATTTAACACAAATATAAGTAAGAAAATGTCAAGTCCTTACAGTTTTGATTGTACAAGTAAAGGCCTATAAAATAGTTCTCCAAATTTATTTAAAACATTTTAAGAGCCCCCAAAAAACTGGAATCAAGGTTTTTGTTTGGTAGTTTGTTCCAAGGGGGAAAACAGGTGGAAAAGATTGCCAACTGCCCTCTACTGTACAGTGTCTCCTTCGTCCTTTGAGACTATGTTTCCAAGTCTGCTTTACAGCTCGGTATGGCCCTATGACAGTTCTGGCCAATAGGATGTGAACATTAGTGGTGTGCATGCCTTCCAAGTCTTGTCCTTAAAAGTAAGCTGTTGTCCTCCAATGCTCACAGGCCGGAATGCGGACATGGTTGAGGGAAGTCAGTTTCCACCATGCAGACAAGGACAACACCCCAGAGGGATGGCAGAGCAACAAGACAGAAGGAACCTGGGTCCCAGGATGATGTTCTGAAGGAAAGCTAACTCCAAACTCCTGACCTACCCACACTTTTACACAAGAGAGAAATAAACCTGTTTTATTTAAGCCACTGTTGTCTCTAGCACAGCAGTCAGGCTAATATCCTACAGATACACCTGCCTTTCTGAATGTTCTTTGTGTCTTTATTTCTATTTTTGTCCAACTAAAGTCTACCAGTTCTATTATTCTGAAAAGCCTTGATATTTCGATTGTTGTAACTACTCATGAATTTGAAAGCACTAAGAGTCATGGACATAAATGATGCTAAAATTTACAGTAAAAAAAGAAAAGAAATACCATGACTCCTGTTGACATATTGTTGTTATATTCCAAAATAATTTTCTCAATTCTTGTAACATTTTCCAGGAAATCAATCTACTGTGTGTAAACTTTCCTTGGGGACTAAAATTTCAGCCACAAATATTAGCAGGAATTGCCCTAAGCACAGTCAAATGGAAGTGCAGAAAACAACTAGAAAGCAAAGGAGTGGTATTTTCGACCTTTGACCCCAGGTAAGGCCTGTGGGTAGGTCTGGGTCCTAAGTACACTGAGCAAATAACGTCCTTCAAGTAAGGAATGCAGGCAATTTCATTAGAATTTCAAATTATTGGCTAATAATGAGATAAAATTAAAGCACCATGTTACTGGATGAGTGAGCTCATTATTAAACTATCTGCTGCTCGCAGAAGCCTCTGGGAGACATGGACTTTGAGTTCACTTGGATGAACCCGGTCTTTTTCTCCCAGCAGAATCTCTATAGAAGAACATGTGTCATCTCATTTGTTCAAGAAGGTTACCCTCAGCCTCTCTCTTCTCCTGGACTAGAATGTTGTTAGCAAATATCTTAATAGACCCAATAAAGTGACATTATTCACAGTGGCAGTCTAAAGCAATAATTCCCTAACAGAATACGATGCAGTATTAAGACCCAATCCTTGCTATGGTTCTGCTTTGAACGTGGCTTACTTCACAGAGTCGTGCATGGTCTTACACACGTGCAAAAGGGCGTTCAGAATGACGGGGTCCTTGGTGGGCTCGTGCTGATGCCTAAGAAACATGTAAAGATAACTGTAAAGCTATGTCCACTGAAAGCACTGAAAGCGTGGATTTAGTTCTCATTTACTGTTCGTATCTGAGAAAGCAGAAAATTAGCCGGTTGCCATTTAACACGGTCCAGTTCACTAGTAATGGGCAATGTTCTCGTTTTCTCTTATTCTCCTTTAAATAAAAGTTTGCTCTTCTACTCATAGTATAGTCATTACTGTAGAGTCGATTCTGACTCATAGCGACCCTATAGGACAGAGCAAAACTGCTCTATAGGGTTTCCAAGGCTGTAATCTTTATGAAAGCAGACTGCCACATCTTTGTCCCGTGGAGTGGCTGGTGGGTTCGAACTGCTGACCTTTCAGTTAGCAGCCAAGCACTTAACCACTGCACCACCAGAACTCCTACACCTATAGTATAGCTTCTCCTATTTGCAAAATCATGGTAAAACTGCTACATTTCCTAAACCAGCAAAGGGTAAACCTGCTGTCTTACTACGTTTCCTGTAACTTCTGAAGCTATTCACAACCTGCTATTACCATGTGAAGTACCTGGCAAAAGTATTAATTTGGTTTTTCAAATCATATAAAAGGACACTCTTATAATACATCTTTATGCAAATAAAGTAGGCGTGTATGTTCCAAGCATACAGAATTAATCTTTTATCAACATTACACAAGGAAAGCTTAAAACACATTATTCATCTAGCTCAATTTTCCAAACTGTAGTTATTTGAGTTCCAACTTATCTTTTTTTAACCATATCTACATACTTAATATTTCAAGTGACTTTAACTTTTTTTTACTTAACCTTGTCCTAAATGATAATATACATGAAATCAGAGGTTAAATAAGTTAGTTATATATTTCTAATATACTTTAAGATAAATACATAACTTCAAAAAAAACCCTCTCCATATACCAGCTAAAATTATTTCATGTACCAATAGCAGGAGCCGTTTTAGGAAACACAGATTTAGTCAATAAAACAGAAAATGGAAACCTTTCTAGCTCTGGTATCTTAATAAGCATGGCTTTATTTTTATCTTTTAAAATGTTATTTTCTAAGTCATTCATCAAAAGATTGCTCCTTCCAAAAACATAACAGAGTAAAATGTAGGTATTAGTCAGGCTCACGATAATTGTAACTTTGATTTCTTAGGCACTAATTAAAAACTTTTATCATAACTGTTGCTTTTAATGTGGTTTTCCTTCCCATCTTACTTTAGATAGAAAATATGTACACATCACCAGGCCTAGAAAAGTGCAGAAATTTTTTTCTCAATATTTTTTACTGATTATACCTTAAAAAGCAAATATTTTGACTATACTGATTTAAATAAAATATACTATTCAAATTGATTCCACCTTTTTCTATTTTACCTTTTTTTGTGGTAAACATACATGTAACAAACATTTGCCATTTCAACATTCTTCACATGTACAATTCAGTGACATTAATTATGTTTATCATGTTGTTCAACCATTGCCATTATCTGTTTCCAAATTTTCCATTACCCTTAAAAGAAGCTCGGTGTCCCCTAAGCAATGAGCCCTTTCCCCCTCCCTCCTGATGCCCTTGGTAACCACTAATAAACTTAGGTCTCTAGGTAAATTGATTTCTCAACAGACGTCAGAAGGGCATCGGTAATCAAGGCTTCCGGCGACACCTGTCACACTTACTTGATAAAGGCTTCCATGATGCATTTGCACACTTCCACTCGCACACTCTCTTTTTGGAACATGTCCAGAAATGGCAGAAATTTTTCCTAAACATAAAAAAGCACTCTAAATGTAATTTAAACAAGCTATTGGAAGGGATTTGTGGAACACCTTTTCTTTGGAGGTCAAGAAAGCAGACAAGGTGCTCATCTCTCTGAGGTGGTTAGATGTGGGCTCATCTGAAAGCAGGGAGAGACCTGAATGGGGATTTTTTAAACTATTATTATTAAAACAACTTGCAGGCCTGTAACTGTACATAAAAGGTAGCCAGAGGAGGGACAGTACCAGGGAAGGAAGCTAAGGGAAGGGCAGAGAATGTTACTATACATACAATATCCTCAGAGCCCTGGTGGCACACTGGTTAAGAGCTTGGCTGCTAACTAAAAGGTCAGCAGTTCAAATCCACCAGCCACTCCTTGGAAACCCTGTGGGGCAGTTCTACCCTGTCCTATAGGGTCGCTATGAGTGGGAATCAACTCGACGACAATGGGTTTGGTTTTTGGTTTGGCTCCCCCAGGACACCGCAGCAGCAAACTCATAGGGGTGCCACAGGATATTCTCAATTTCTGAGGGAGGCATAGTGAATCTGAACTCTGTCACACAGCAAGACAGCTAGTAGCTTGAGGTGGTTCATAATTTCAACATTAGATTGCATGATAAAAAGCAAGTACCATGTGAAAATCGATATGGAAGAGAAAATGAGCGTGGGGGTGTCCTATTTAATACCAAGGTTTGAGAAGTTGGGCAGTGCCCAACAGGTGCAGATATCCCATTAAAAAACAAAATAAAACAAAACTCGTTGCCATTGAGTCCATTCCGACTCACAGCGACCCTACAGGACACAGTAGAACCGTTCCATAGGGTTTCCAAGGCTGTAATCTTTATGGAAGCAGACTGCCACATCTTTCTCCCGTGGAGTGGCTGGTGGGTTTGAACTGCTAACCTTTTGATTAGCAGCCAAGCGCTTTAAACACTGAGCCACCAGGGCTCCTTTAAATGAAATGAAAGTATTTTCTTTCAATTTATATGTATAATTTTTTTTAAATGGCTGCTTAAGTTGTTAGGATATAAGTATTTATTAATTCAGACCTGACTTATAAAAGTAACTGTTAAGTATTTCTTTTGGCCTAGGAGTCTCATGAAAAATTACTGAGACAACGAGGGCTTCAAAATTACTGAGACAACGAGGGCTCCAAGAACTGAGAAAATTTGGAACCTCTGACCTAGAGGCAAATTTTCAAAGACAATTAAGAAGTGTTACTCACCACTGAGAAGAGAACTGAGAAATCATGGAAGTGGGTGATAACTTTCTTAATTATTGACTGCAGCTGAAAAACAAAATGAAAAATATATCTTATTTAATATAACTTGGATTTTTTTTTAAAAAAAAAGCAACCTTCTTTCATAATCCAAAGTTACAATTATAATAAGGTAAACCCAGATTGCTCAAGGGACAGGGAGTTATGGTTAGGTTAGGTCTCAGTCTGAGGATGTCCATCTTCATCTAGTTTTGGGGAAGCAACTTCTTATCCTCAGCCTCAGATTACTCATCTGTAAAATGGAGATCAAAGAAGCACCTCGCTCATTAGGTCCTTGTGAGGACTGCTGTATTTTTGTGCAAATAACGTGCTCACATAAACAATGCACTCATACACGTAACACGCAGTATAGCACACACAAAAACAGTGAAAGGTGGCTTGTGGGGTTGGCAAAAAACCGAACGTGTGCATTATTTGCATAAAAATACAGTAGATCGTACATATGAAGTGCTTAGAGCAGGGCCCAGCCCTCAGAAATTAATGTCAGCTATTATTATTCTAGGAATCAGCAAACTTTTTCTGTAAAGGGCCATACAGTCTGTCGCAACTACTCAGCTCTGCTCTTTAGTGCAAAATTAGCCAGAGACAGCATATAAACGAATGCGTATGGTTGTGTTCCAATAAAACTTTATTTACAAAAACAGGTTGGGGGCTTGATAGCCTGTAGTTTGCCAACCCCTATTCTAGCCCAGTGTGGCCCTGTGCTGCTTGACTACTTCAGTGGAGAAGCACTGGGCCAGGTTTGCCAGAAGGTCAAAGGCCACAATGGCACTGTTCAGGGGCAGTGGCATAATCTTTGAACCCTGCCCAGATGCCAAGATACTGATGTAAACTATCCTTCACCCCGAGATACATGCAGTCCTGATAAAAAGGATAATAGGACCTGGCTGAGAAGAACCAAGGAGGGGATTTCCTAAATAAAATATAAACCCCTGCCCCCGGGTGCTGTCAAGAAGAAAAAACTTACTGACAAGTACTTTGGTCAAGGCATTGTCCGATTTCTCTACTGCATAGTCGCTATTTTCCTTCTTGCAATTAACACTTGCCTTATGGAAAGACCCTGTGAGATATGCAAACATCTTGGTCCTCCTCAAACTTTCCCCCTCGACTTAGCATCCACTGAGGATTCTTGCTTGACCTGGTCTTTATACACGATGGCTGCACAATGGTGATTTTTCAACTCTACAGTTTCTTCCACACTTTCTCAATCAGCATAAGGAAGAGCCATCTCCCTCCACCTTTTCCCTCATCTATCTATCTATCACCGTGATGGACTCGTGGATTCTTGCTTTATTCAATGGGTTATACTCTATTACTGTCCTTATTTATTGTGATGCTCCAACTGTCCCAGTGGGAGCCTAGAGGAGCCCTTTCATGCTGCTCCTGGGCCCTTTCACATGCCCTCATCAGTTTTTTGAGCACTTCCCTACCTTCCAGCATAAAAAAATGTTCCAGGCTCCTCATGTACCCTCCATGCCCTGGCCCTGGAGTAAGCCTTTCTCCACAGATCCAGGCTGTTTATTTTTCTGGTCGTGGCCCTCACTTAGGACAAGCATCCATTACTGATATGGGCAATTGCTCTGAGCGCAGGCTGGCCCCAGGGCCTCCCTTATAAGTTGCTTTTGAACATGAGAGCATTACTTTTCTTCCTATAATTCTGCTCTCTCATGAGTGGATTGCTTTAAAATCTTTACGTTATTCGCAGGTTTCAATTAACTGGGTCTCTAGAAGTTAAGATCTTACTAAATATTCCCCAACCGAAGTTGTCATGCACATCAGTTTTCATATGTGCCTGAGGTCTTCACGATCACAATGGTACAACCCATCTCTGCTACACTCTTTATTCCTTCAACAATACTGACTGAGAGCCTGTTATACCTCAAGCCCAAGCCATGACCAGGTACTGTTTCCATCACACCCACTGGAATGTTAGGGAGCCAGTGGCTGCTCAATAAATGGTGATAATGAACCATTTTAATTAACAAATGGTGAAAAATTCTTAAATTAGCAAAATGTAAAAATCATCAAATTATTATACAAATACGAACCTAATTGTCTTATTTATACTAAGTGAAATTCAAATCAATCTCAGAACATCACATTATTCAATAAAAAATAAAATCTTTATTAGGTCAAAAGTTACTTTACAGTACGGGATTCTGTAGTGGAGTGGGAAAAAACTGTTCTAAAGAACATGATTAAGTCAACTGACGAAACTGGAATATGGATAGTGGAACAGATAATAGTAGTGTATTGATGTTAAACTCCCAGAAGTTGATAACTGAACTATGGTTACGTAGGAGGATGTTCTTATTGTTAGGAAATACTCACTGACGTATTTCGAGGCAAAGTAGCATGATGTATGTAACTTATTCCCAAACGATTCATAAAAAAATTTACATACATAGTGTGTATACGTACATATATATATATATGAGCACCATACAGAATGATAATGATAAAGCAAACATGGTGATATGTTAACAGTTGGTCAATCCAGGTGAGGGGTATATGCAATTTGTACTATTCTCTCAACTCCTGTAAGCTTGAATTTATTTCCAAATAAAAAGTTAGTTTAACTAAAAAATATGTAGGTATTTTACTTACTGGTGACAACAATGACGATGACGTTTATTCAGCGCTTACCATGTGCCAAGCAACTTCCCATATCACATTCCACTTAACCCTCACAACAACTCTGAGGGTAGAACTATTACTCTCTCCGTTTTGAAGGTGAGAAATCTAAGGCATAGCAAGGTTAAGTCATTGATCAAAAGGCACACAGCTTGGATATGGCAGAGCTAAGATTCAAATCCAAGATTATCTGACATTACGGCCTACCCATGCAACATGCCTAATTAATTCAACAGGATAAATTTCCTCACGGTGCTGAAATGAGAAATCAGAGTCTGTTACCTGTGGGTAGGAATCTTCAAACGCACGATCTGGAGTCATGTGCTTGATGACATCAGCTAAAACAGTATTCACCTCTCGTTTCTATGCAAGGAAAAGAAATCAAGCTTCTATTAAACACTGAACTGCAGTTGCTAACTATTTATCAAGGGAAAGAACTAACATGTTCAGAATATATCATACAACTTCCAGGCAACAGTTTCAGATATTCTGCTGAAGATAACATCAGAGGAGAACTCCTACCCACATCACTGGTCTAGAATATCACAGTCCTAAACATGGCTACATGTGCACCAAGTCAGGACTAAGACACTGTTCGCAAAGGTTCCTGGGCTTTTACACCGTTCATCCTTTCCCCGTTGTTAGTTGCCGTCGAGTCAATTCCAATTCATGGCAACCCCTTGCGTGCAGAGTAGAACTGCTCCATAGGGTTTTTAAGGGTGTGACCTTTCAGAAGCAGACAGCTAGGCCTGTCTTCCAAGGTGCATCTGGATGAGTCTGAACTGCTGACCTTTTGTCTAGTACTTGAGCACCACCTAGGGACTCCTGCTTTCCCTAAACCTGTTGCCACTGAGTCGATTCTGACTTACAGCGACCCTACCGGGCAGAATAGAACTGCCCCATAGGGTTTCCACAGAGCGGTTGGTGGATTCAAACTGCCAACCTTTTGGTTAGCAGCCTAGCTCTTAACCACTGCATCACCAGGGCTCCTTGCTTTCCCTAAGTGGGGGTGAAAGCGGTCATGCTGCCTTCTGCCTGCCCATCCCAGGCCCTCCCTCGGGGGCTGTGCACAGAGACAGCAAGGCTCTGTGGTAAGAGCACAGACTCAGGGCGCTTTAAGCCATCTGACCCAACTGCTCACTCCATTTTTGTCATCTACATCAGGGATAGGCAAAACTTTGACCCAAATCCAGCCTATTGCCTATCTTGTACAGCCATGCACTAAGATGGTTTTCATGTTTTTTTAATGGTTGAAGGAAAAATCAAAGGAGAATCACGTTTTGTGATAGCAAAAATTATAAGATTCAAATGTCAGTGCCCACAAATAAAGTTTTATTGGAACACAGTTACGCTCATTTCCTGCCTTTCCTGTACAAACTGTACCTCACAGTAATCAAACAGCCAACAATGGGAGTTTCTCTTTATACAAGTATTCCAGCTAATAAATAAAGAAGGATGATAAACTTAGAATATCACCATTTTGCAACCCCCTGATAAGTTATAAGATCCAGGCATTAGCTTCAGTGGCTGCTCACATCAGAGAGAGAGAGACAACCAGATGTCATTGGCCTCCCATGAGAAGCACCACACCCCCTCCATGGTATGTCAGAGCCCTGCCAAAAAATCAAACCTGAAGCTGATTATGTCTCTAGAACAAACTGCCAATTTACAGGAAATAGTGGAAACAGAGGAACAAGTTAAACACCCTCATGGAGATGCAATCAGCAAAATCCAGACTGGGAAACTATAGGACAAATAATCCAAACTCTTCAACAAAAAAATTACAAGGGAAAAAAAGTGAGTAAGTGAGAGAAAACGTAGATTTAAGAAAAACTTAAGAAGCGTATCAACTGCAATGGATGGACCTATACCTGATTTGAAAAGATAAAACTTAAAAGAGAGAGAGACAATTGGGGAAATTTGAACATTGACTGGATATTTAATGATATTAAATATTTTTGTAGTTGACATAACAATATTGCGATGTTTCAAAAACGGGAATCCTTATATTTCAGAGATATGTGCTAAAATATTTACAGATAAAATGATGTCTAGGATTTACCTCAAAATAATGCAGGGTGGGGGAAGTGGCAGAGATATAAAGAAACAAGAGTTGTCAGAAGGTGATAATTCCTGGGTGATGGGTAAGGGAGAGATGATATGTTTGAAATTTTCCATAATAAAAAGTGAAAAAAACATATGGACAAAAGAAATATAATCAATGAGCTCAACATACAGTGTTCTTCCATTTATATAATATTCAAAACAAGGTGAAACCAATTTCTGGTGTTAGATCAGGATGGGGGTTACCTTCAACTCACCAAAGGATGGGGTTGTGACTGGAAGGGGAAGTGAAGAGGGTTCCAGGGGGGCTTATTATTTCCTATTTCTTTATCTGGACAGTGGCTACATGGGTATGTGCTGTGAAAATTCATTAAACAGTACATTTACAATATGTGCGCTTCTCTGTATATATGTTATACTTCAATTTTTAAAAGTTCATTAAAATAAATAACTCTGGCAATAGGATTTGCACCTTGTTCTATCTGCTTCTGAAGTCCTTGCTCTTTGACACGCCCAGTATTTCTCAAGCTGGGGTTCTACTGTATACCTAGGAAAAGAAGTGTCTGTTTGCTTAGGGAAAAAAACTGCACGCAAGTATGCTTGAGAAACACTGCTCGTAAGACTCCCTTGGAAAGTGACAATACACTTTGGCATATAAGCACCTGAAGTATCCTATGGTGAAAAAAACTATTTAACATCATATAACACAGTATTTCCCAAGTTGATACGTGAGCATGAAACACTTTAATTACAGTACACATATCAATGCTTCAGTACACTATACTATAAAGCAGGTAATTTTTATAAATTATAAGAATAATTATCATTATTAAATGTCTAAAGGAGACTCATTATTACAAACATAAAATAAAAAAATACAATCCTTTCAAAAACAATACCACAGTCACATACCGTAAAATGCTTGCACGTGTATTCTACCCATACTTCTGCACAATTAATGTAGTCCTACAAAGAACAAGGAAAAGCTGCTTTACAAAAAAGATAACACAGTTCATAAAGTCCCCTCAAAGCCTCTGATACTAGAAAGAATAGACAAGAGATAGGAACTTCAAGAGTGGTTCACTATAAGAAATTCTGGCCCACTAATAAATTTTACACTGAGAAGTTGGTAATTAAAATAAAAAAAACCATAAGTTGCTTAAAAAGTCCAGACTTACCGGACAGGTTGAGACTGGAGGACTCCCCGAGATTATCGTCCTGAGATACTCTTTAAACCTTGAACTGAAACTACCCCGTGAGGTCACCTTTTAGCTAAGTAATAGATTAGCTCATAAAATACAGAATATTACCTGTGAGTACTGTGCATCTTTCAAAAATCATCTATATGAGATCAAATGGTCAAAAACAATTACTCTAAAGCAAAGATAAATGGGTAAGGGGACAGGAAACCACATTCCTGGAAACAAAACATTCAGAATGGAAGTAATGAGAATGTTGACACATTGTGAAAAATGTAACCAAGGTTGCTGAACAGTTTGGTTATTGTTAAATGGGAACCTAATTTGCTTGTGTAAACTTTCACTGAAAACACAATAAAATATTGTTTAAAAATAATAAGTTGCCTGAAACTAATGAGATTGTTATTCCAGACTGGCTGTGTGGGCCGAGATGGAAATCTAGGAGGCTCTATCAGGTTTAGAGAATCAGAAGAATTCTCTAAGGACAGGGCTTTCCAGATTAACCGTGAGGAACCCTTGCCACACCTCAACGGAGAAACAGATGGGGGTTCTGGTTGAAAACTTAAGTTTTGCTTAAGCGTAATGCCGCATGTTCTGAGTAAAAACAGGCTCGCCATCTTCAAGAAACCATTTCCTATGGAAGGTGATGTATTTATGTTATAAAGCCCTAAAAATATGAGGTAAGAAATTGTGTTAGATTCAAGGAGGTAGGCCTACGAGAAACGATGAGGGAGTGTACAAAGATGACAACCACCACCTTAGTAAGGCTGCCTGCCCAAGAAAACACCCAACTGGGAAAAAAGCAGTAAAGGAACAATGGAGCAGCAAGTGCTCTCTCTCCTTTCTCTGTTTGGTTCTGTCAGTTTAAGGGAAAGAAAGAAGAAATTGGGGGAAAGAAGAAAACAGTTATTTCATTCACACAGGAAAAGTAACGAATATTCTAAGGTCTGAATGGGATACTAAGAAGGTAACCTAGCGAGGTGAGTGTGAAGTTACAGACTAGAGAAAACTGTTAATACGGGCTTTTGATGCAAGGCTGCTTTGAAGCACTGAAGAACAGGCCCTGCTGGCACGGCAACAGGGCCAGGCCAAACCCATTGCCATCAAGTCAATTCTAGCAACCCTATAGGACAGAGCAGAACTACCCCACAGGGTTTCCAAGGCTGTAATCTTTATGGAAGCAGAGTGCCACATCTTTGTCCCGTGGAGTGGGTGGTGGGTTTGATCTACCGACCTTTCAGTTAGCAGCCAAGCACTTAACCACTGCATCATCAGGGCTCCTATTAGGGTTTGTGGTTCAAAGATCCCAAATGAGCTGTTTCAGGTAGCCATTTGGAGCTTGGTTAAATAGAGAATGTTAACAACTGTAGTTCAGTGAGGATTTTACTAAACTATACCTAGGTATCAAGGAGCCCTGGTGGCGCAGTGGTTAAGTGCTCGGCTGCTAACCGAAAGGTTGGTGGTTAAAATCTACCAGCCACTCCATGGGAGAAAAGATGTTATAGTCTGCTTCCATAAAGATTTACAGCCTTGGAAGCCCTACAGGGCAGTTCTACTTTGTCCTACGGGGTCACTATGAGTCAGAATCGACTGAACAGCAGTGGGTTTGGTTTTGGTTGGTTTTATACCTACATACATGATTTTGAGAAAGTTGGTTTTATATTTTTCTAAATTATATCTCTACTTTTACAAAAATTTTATTGTGATAAAATATACATAAAATATTTGCCGTTTCAACCATTTTTTTAAGCATCCAATTGTAATTGAAAGTGACATTAATTATATTCACCACGTTGTGCTACCATCACCACTACCCGTTTCCAAATGTTTTTCTTTACCCAGAACAGAAACTCAGTTACCTCTTAAGCAGTGACTCCCTGTTTTCTCCGGCCCCCAGCCCCTGGTAGCCACTGATAAACTTTGGTCTCAATGCATTTGCCTATTCTAGATACTTCATATTAATGGAATCATACAATATTTGTCCTTTTGAGTCAGACTTATTTCACTCAGCGTGTTTTGCAGGTTCATCCATGTCACAGAATGTATCAGAACTTCATTTCTCTTTGTGGCTGAATAATACTCCATTGTATGGATATACCACATTGTGTTCACCCATTCATCTGTAGATGGACACTTGGGTTGTTTCATCTTTTGGCTGTTGTGAATAATGTTGCAGTGAACACTTGTGTACAAGTATCTATTTGAGCCCCTGCTTTTAAGACTTTTGGGTATATACCTAGGACTGGGATTCCTGGGTCATATGGTAATTCTGTAACTTTTTAAGAAACCACCAAACTGTTTTCTGTAGTGGCTGCACCATTTTACATTCACTCCAACAACTGATAAGGGTTCCTATTTCTCCACACCTTGTCAACACTTCTCTTCCCTTTTTCTGATTATAGCTATCCCAGTACGTGTGACTCAAACACACCAACAATCATGAAGGGGGCACAAAACTGGGCAACATTTCATTCTGTTATACCTGGGGTTGCCATGAGTCACAGCTGATTCGAAGGCAACTATTTAACAGTATGAAGTAGTATCTCACTGTGGTTTTGGTTTGCATTTCCATAATGGCTAATGGTATTGAGCACTTCTTCATGTGCTTTTTGGCCATCCGTATTTCCTATTTGGTGAAATGTCCATTCAAGTCCTTTGCCCATTTTTTAATTGGGCTGTCTTTTCGTTCTTGAGTTGTAGAAGCTCTTTATATATTTTGGATATTAAATCCTTATCAGATATATAGTTTCCAAATATTTTCTCCCATGCTGTAGGCTGTCTCTTCATATCACTACTTTTAATATGCTATTATAAAGGTGGTAATTAGCAAGGGGTTTATAATTGTGCTCACTTCCTCCATGATAAATGACTGCAACACATGCTACATATCTATCATAGATTGAATTGTGTCCCCCAAAAATATGTCAACTTGGCTAGGCCATGATTCCCAGTATTGTGCGACTGTCTACCATTCTGTCTCTCTGATGTGATTTTCCTATGTGTAGTAAATCCTATCTCTATGAGGTTAATGAGATGGGATTAGCAGCAGTTATGTTAATGAGGCAGGACTCAATCTACAAGATTAGGCTGTGTTTTAAGCCAATCTCTTTTGAGATATAACAGAGAAGAAAGCAGAGAAACATGAGGACCGCATACCACCAAGAAACGAGAGCCAGGAGAATAGTACATCCTTTCGACCCAGGGTCCCTGTGCTGAGAAGCGCCCCCACTGGGGAAGACTGATGACAAGGACCTTTCCACAGAGCCGATAGAGAGAGAAAGGCTTTCCCTGGAGCTGGCACCCTGAATTTGGACTTCTAGCCTCCTAGACTGTGAGAGAATAAATTTCTCTTCGTTAAGGCCATCCACTTGTGGTATTTGTTATAGAAGCACTAGATAACTAAGACAATATCCATAGTCAGTTATTCACTGCTCGTAAGAGAGGGACAGTACAGGGTGTGGTGAAGTCTGTCCAACTGGTCCTGCAGCCAAAGTCAGCCATTTGCCTATTTGTACCATTTGTCTATTGGCAGCAACATAATTTGCTGGCATGATGCCTACAAGGACAGTTAGCCATGAAACCTACACCCACAACATGATGGCCATCATTACATGTATCACAGTAACTAAGATCAGTTCGTCTGTCTTTCCCACACTTCCCACAGCTGAAGAATGGGGCACCAGAGGCCTCAGCTGATTCCATTCAAAGAATTCACTTTTGCTAATTACTGGTGGTTTGACCTGTTGATCTTCAAATTAGGAATACACCTACTCCTCACTTATCGACTATCTCGTTATTTGACATTTCGTATTTTCGACAATAGTAAAAAATCTACTCTCTGACTATTTTGCATATTAATGAGGTGGTGGGCATGGTGGCAAAAGCTGTGGAGCATCCCCTCCCTCAATCTCTGGGCAGGCTCCAGGAAGCTGGGCCATGCTGCCTTGCGTCCTCTACTCTCTCCTACCGGAGGGGGCGCTATGTCCAGCTGCTGCATGGGCCAGCCTCCTCCGTGGCCATGGACACCTGTTCTGGGTTCCCAGCACCTACGCAGCCTGAGGCTCTGCAGCTCAAAACTCCCGTGGTATGGGAAGGGAGGAAAGAAAGAGGTGTCGCAGAGGGTGTTTGGAAGAAATGCATGCGAGTTTAATGGCATCCCAAGTGAGCCAAACTGGGTCTGAAGCCTCTGCCTTGGTGCGGCCAGGTGCTTGGTCAGGCTCCCAGCGCCCTTGTAGGAAGCCCTGAGCCTCAATGACTTGCCAGGGCTAGAGAGCATTAGGATCATGAAGGCAGGGCTTCAGGGTGGGAGTGGAGCCCTGGAGGCGGCTCCTTGAGGGAAGCTCTGACCCAGCACAGGAGGAAGGTGAAGTGGTTAAGCCATGGACCTTGTTTGTAGTCACACAGCTCGGATCTATCCAGCTTTGTCTCCTCTAAACCTCCTTCCCCACCGAGGAATAATCCATGACTGGATTCTTCACAGTGATGAGCACATCAGTAAATCTTAGCTGTCATTATTTCTATGATTATATTTTCTAAATTAAAAAAAAAAATCAGACAAATGGATGGTCTGAAAACAACAACAAAAAAATCTTCCATTTTCGCATACTGCCAATTTTTGCATAATGACCTGGTCTTTGGAACCTAACCGTATCGATAAGTGGGGTGCATAACGACCTGGTCTTTGGAACCTAACCGTATCGATAAGTGGGGTGCATAACGACCTGGTCTTTGGAACCTAACCGTATCGATAAGTGGGGAGTGGCTGTATTTTCAAAACGGACATTTCAAATCCAAGTACTATAGACTATTGCATTTTAGATACTCTTTACAAAGTCAAAACTAAAAAAAACCAAACCCCATTGCCGTCAAGTCAATTCTGACTCACAGCTACCCTACAGGACAGAGTAGAACTGCCGTATAGGGTTTCCAAGGGGCAGCTAGTGGATTCAGACTGCTGACCTTTTGGTTAGCAGCTGACTGCTTAACCACTGTGCCACCATGGCTCCCACCAGTCTATATTACTGCTTAACAAATAATAAAATTTAAAAAAGTAGATTTCCTTTATTATTTATTTTTTTAATTTTTTGTGAAAATATACACAGCAAAACTTACACCAATCCAACAACATCTACATGTACAATTCAGTGACACTGGTTACATTCTTCAAGTTGTACAACCATTTGGGCTATCCATTTCCAAATTATTTCACTGCGATTAACATAAACTCACTGGCCCCCTAAGCTTCTCATCTAACCTTTCCAGTTGCTGTTGTCAGTTTGATCACATGTAGATAATTCTTTAAAAAAGCATAATGCTCAAGGCAAACATTCTTTTTCATTTTTTTATTATTGTACTTTAAACGAAGGCTTCAGAACAAACTAGTTTCTCATTAAAAAATTAGTACACATATTGTTTTGTGACATTGGTTGCCAACCCCATGACATGTCAACACTCTCCATCCTCGACCTTGGGTTCCCCATTACCAGCTTTCCCGTCCCCTTCTGCCTTCTCGTCCTTGCCCCTGGGCTGGTGTGCCCCTTTAGTCTCATTACGGGCCTGTCTAATCTTTGGCTGAAGGGTGAACGTCAGGAGTGACCTCATTACTGAGCTAAAACGGTGTCTGGGGGCCATTGTCTTGGGGTTTCTCCAGTCTCTGTCAGGCCAGTAAGTCTGGTCCTTTTTTTGTGAGTTAGAATTTTGTTCTACATTTTTCTCCAGCTCTGTTGTGATCCCTGTCAGAGCAGTCGGTAGTGGTAGCCAGGCACCATCTAGTTGTGCTGGACTCAGTCTGGTGGAAGCTGCGGTAGTTGTGGTCCCTTAATCATTTGGATTAATCTTTCCCTTATGTCTTTGGTTTTCTTCATTTTCCCGTGCTCCAGATCGGGTGAGACCAGTGGAGTATCTTGGATGGCCACTCACAAGCTTTTAAGACCCCAGACGCTACTCACCAAAGTAGAATGTAGAACATTTTCTTTATAAACTATATTACAAGGCAAACATTCTTTATTAATTAAGCTAAACTATTGCTTGGTTTAAAGATGACTTCAGAAATCGTTTCCTTTAAGGTTTAAAGATTACCTCAGGGCAATAGTTGGGTGGTTGGATGGGGGGTGATGTGGATTTCTCTTAAAAAACAGATTTATAATTTGTGAAAAGATAATTTTTAAAAGAAGAGTATACTGCATAACTTGGACAAAAAGCAGTCATCAATTTAAGTCTAAATGGTCACCCACCTGTGGATTCTTCAATTTAGTGATAACTTTCCAAGCTTCATTAAGAATCTGAAGTTGATCACTCTCAGGTGGATCAGCCAAGGCCAAGTTTAACCCCAACGAGCGAAAAAGGAGATGCTAAGAAAAATATCAAACCACTGTGTAACTGCAGATTGTAAATCATAGTAACCTGAGGCTTAACAGAAGAGGTTGTAAAGTTTAGTTTGTCTCAGGATTAATATTCCAATGTCCTCTTTCTGAAGTTCTACCACAGACCTACGTGAGCTAGACTGAGAAACTTAAACAGTCAGCTCCATGTGATCATCTAATCTGTGCCCATAACATTCCACTGGGCAAAGCTTTTCGTAAATATTCACTGAAGATACATTTTTAAAGATGTGAGACCAAAGTGTTTCCTAAATAGTTCACTGTGAGCTAATTTGATAGATCTAGGACTCACGGGAGCCTGACTCACACCAATTACATGGTGTCTAACAACCCCAATCTCTAACTCATTTTCTGTCCCATTCTGCACAAACAGAGCCTTCACTTATTTTCCTGTTAGCCCAAGCTGCCCCCAACACCAGACTCCCTCCCTTGAGAGCTATCGGATAAACACAGCCTATTTGTTCTCCCGCTGAGCATTAAGTCAAGAGCCTACCTTGGGGAAACCAGACTCATCACACTCTTTAATCATGCCAATAAAATCCATAGACCTTGTGGCAATGAACTCGGCCCGGAATGCTGACATCACGGAATTCAACAGCAAGGCACTGCAAGACACAAACCCCCCAACTCAAGAGAGCTTCTTGTTAATGAAAGTCATTTTAAATTTAGAATGCGTATTGCCGGGGAGGATGAATGACAGCCCTTTAATGACAAAGTTGAAAAAAAGAACTGGAGTAAAAGGGCAACCTCTAGAGACTAACAGTGTTTTGTACATATCTGGAACTCGATACACGTTAAATTATCTGGATGGATGGATGGATGGGTGGGTGGATGGGCAGACAGGTAAACAAGGAAACAATTAAATCCATTTAAACAGAAAAAAGCAGGCCCAGTACACTAATAACTAAACATTAAGTAACAATCTTGATTCAAGCTGCAGGCATCTGTTCACATTTCCTGTGAAAAGCACTGTTCCAGGCACCAGGGACACTGATGACCAAAACCCATTCAACACTGCTTACACATCTACCACTGAAAGGAGAGCAGAGAGGAAACCTCATATGCCCTGGAGACACGAAGACTGAGTTCATCCTGGCTCTACCCCTTATGACAGCCCCGTGGGGAAAGAACGACTTTTATTCCCGTTTTACAGATGAGAAGACTGAGACACAGAGAGGTTAAATAAGTGGCCGAAGGTCACATAGCTAAGGAAAGGTGGAGCCAAGATCTCAATGTAGGCAATCAGTCTCCAGCACTCTTAACCACCATACTATCCTGCCCCTTTGTCAGCTCTCTTGCCCATGAAAATATGCCAAGCTCAAAAGAGCAACCAGCCCCACTTCCAAACTCATGCTTTATGAATTTTAAAATACTTACTTGTTTCCTAGTTTCTTACATCTCTCCATCATCTCGGTTAGCAGAGCCTAATGAATTAAAAAAAAACAAAAAAAATTAGCAGGTTGGGGAAAATAAATAAATAAAAGGGCCAGACTTACTGGTCTGACAGAGACTGGAGAAACCCTGAGAGTATAGCCCCCGGACACCCTTTTAGGCCAGTAATGAAGTCACTCCCGAGGTTCACCCTTCAGCCAAAGATTAGACAGGCCCATAAAACAAAAGGAGACTAAATGGGCAGCCCTACCCAGGGGTAAGGATGAGAAAGAAGGAGGGGACAGGAAAGCTGGAAATGGGGAACCCAAGGTCGAGAAGGGGAGAGTATCGATATATTGTAGGGGGGCAACCAATGTCACAAAACAGTATGTGTATTAATTGTTTAATGAGAAGCTAGTTTGCTCTGTAAACCTTCATCTAAAGTACAATTAAAAACCTTTTTTTTTTTTTTTAAATTAGCAGTTTGGAAAATCTAAAGCAACTTTCCTCACTAAGAGATTCCCAAAGTAATACTCTAAAATAAATGCTGCCACATACCCATTTGCATAGGTCTCTGTGCCTGGTGGGGATGTGGAGGAGGGCGTGGGAGAAAGATAAACACATGTGGCATGTGGTACAATGGAAAGGCCTTGGGCCCTGGGAACAGGCACACTTGGGCTCAAATCCAGGTTCACCGAACACTGGGGAGATCTCGGGCAAGTCACCCAGTTTTGCTAAGCCTGGGCTTCCACATCCTCACACAGAGGACAAATGTGGTGCCATCCTAGGTGCAGGGTTACTATCAGATGTTGAGGTGGGCACCTCCTGTGCTCTAGGGGACCAGTGAGAATGAAAATCGCTTCAGTCCCCATCCCCCCACACCCTTCCCAGTTTCCTGAGGTGCCCATGGCCCCCTCCATGATACAAGCAGCAAACACTGAGCCAGGACTTAGTGCTGGCCTGTTACGTGAGAAGAGCTTTGCATTCATGATCTCAGGTCTCACAACCAGGGACAGATTACCCAATCAGCAAGGTATATATGGGCTTAATTGTGTTTACTTACTAGTCTGGAATACACAATTTTATCTGGTTTTCACATGTGCACTCAACTAGTAAGTAAGCACAATTAAGCCTGTGTGTACCTTGCTTACTGTAAGCTGGTGCACACTGTGCTTACTGGTTAATCCGCCCCTGCTCACAACCACCCATGTGGCAGGCTTTCTATTACCCCATTTCACAGATGAGAAACCAAGCCCTGGGGTGGTGACGGCTTGGCCCAAGGTCACACAGCTAGGAACGGGTAGACCAGACCTGAACATGGGCAGTTTGGCATCAAAGGCCATGCTCTTCACCATACTTCCTCTCCACACATTTTGAAGCATTTTTCCCCCAAAAAGGAAGTGTTCCACTCACTGGAATACTGTTATTGGCATTAGAGTTTTCATAAGACAATTATATAGCTTTAAAAGAGCTCCTATTTTAAAAAAAAAATCAATGGAAGAAGTCTCCCTTAGGGCAGTGGTGTGCGGAGGTGTGGAGCGGTACAGACAAGGTCATCGGAAAAAAAGAGCTAAGAATAGCAGCCTCCACATGAGCACTCGCCATGCACTAGACTGAGTGCTTTTGATACCTTTTTTCTCAGTCCTCACGACAAACTTGGGAGGCCCATGTTAACATTATCCCCATTTTACAGACGTGAAAGCTAAAGCTCAGACAGGTTAAGCTACCTCCTAGTAAATGCTGGAACCAAGATTTGTATCTAGGTCTGACCCCAAAGATAGAAATAAAATAAGACTTTAGGGCAAGTCCATCCTCTCCAGCTGTGCCCAATCTGTATCCTAAGGAGTTGCCTCAATAACTAGGCCAACAACTGATGGTGGACGGTACTGTCATCACCCTCACCCCAAGAACCCTGATCTTATTCAGGTTTCTCTCTCAGACCATGAAAATCAGGCTGGAGAGTGGTTTCATTTCCCTTGCCAGTGGTGGGTTGAAGCACATGATCCATTTCTCACTGTTGAGACGGGATGGGAAGTTGCCTGGGGGTCTCAAGGAAAGGTTTCCTTGTTCTTAAACAGGGACTCAAGCAAGTGAAGACTCCCCGTCTGTCTGCCTCTGGATGCTTCCATGTCTGGACATGAATGGCTACAGCCACCTGCTCCTAGTGGGGGATGGACAGGACCTGCCTGGCCCTGAAGCCTGCACTTGTTGTGGGAGAGGATATAATGCATCATTTCTGACAGCCAACCCAGTCAGGGGTCTGTTCCTTGCAGCCCAAAGCATCCCAGCTGATGATAACATTGATGATGTAGCAAATGACTTCCTTAGCTCACTCATGGGCTGCTTAAAGCCATTCTTGAAGACCAATACCAAAGCGGTTTCTGGGAAAGGTGGAGGAAGGAAAACAGAATTCTATATAATTATCACACTAATAGCCCCAACACACACAAATAATCATTCATTCAATGACTATCTATGGGGCAACTTCAATGTACTAGACACGGTTCTAGGCACTGGGGACATGGTGGTAAAGAAAACAGACAAAACTCATGCCCTCGGGGAACTCATTCTCTCTCAAACATGCGTGTGCACACAGATGAGCATACACACACACACACACACACACACACACACACACAGAGTAATAAATGACGGGTCTTGGCCCACCACTTCTGAAAAGATGAACTACAGCAAATGCCAACATATGAACTAAACATTCTGGCCATTAAGACAAAGGAAATGCTTTCAAATGTCTCTTTTTCACAAAAGATGAATGCATTAATAATGCATCCAAGAACATAACTTTAAAAAAAATTTTAAAAAAAGGCTCTGTCCTCATGCAGGAATATCCAGAAGTGTCCAGAAAGCCAAAATGTTATATATCCCAGGCAAGTCTGTTAGAGGTTATTATTTTTTTTCTCCTGAGAAGTAACAGGATTGATTACATTTGGCAAGAACAAGATGAACAATAGCTCAAACCAGACAGAGATCGAAATAAGCCTTTTGGCTGAGATAAGCCACTGAAAAACTTACGGCTCAGCACATTAACTTTTCATATGTACATCATAACTTGAAGATTCATAAAGCAGATATTTATTTAGTGTGCTAATCTTTGTTTTAGGCTTTTGGTATTGTTGTTGCTCCAACACTTCATTTGTTCATATAATATTACACTGTTCTGTAACGATTACTGCAGTGTGATGAATTGCTTTTATATGGCCTTTCTCACCATGGTCTTGTGACTCCTACAAAATGACTGAGTGGGTCTATGCAAATAAGGTGCTTGTGGCCCATTAAGGGGATTGGACGGCATTGCTAATAACACAAATAAGGTGCATGGCACCCTTGTGGACGTAATACCATGCAAATAAGGTGTTTGGAACCCTAACAAGGCGATTGGTCAGTTTTGTCATCCCACTAGGCTTAAAAGAAAGCCAATCCCAGAGCAGAGGGGGACCTCACTACCACCAAGCAAGAAGAGCCAGGAGTGGAATGTGTCCTTTGGACCTGGGGTCCCTGAGCTGAGAACCTCCTAGACCCAGGAGACAGAGAGAGCTGTAGCACTGCAGATGGCATGAGACTTCGAGAAGCAGCAGCAGAGAAACGGCAGCAGTGGAACAAGGAGATGGTGTGAGACAGCATGGTGGGCTGCCTGGCCTGCAGAGCAAGGTGGTTACAGTGGGCGTGCCAACCCATGGAGTGAGAGAGCTGAGGGCCCAAGTAGGACACAGACCAGGCACGAGCAGGGGGCGAGGGTCAAGAGAAGAGGCCTGTCCTGAGGGGGCTGAGAGGAGGCCTACATAGCCAGGAGGAGCTGAGAGAGCTGTCCTGCACTGAAGAAGGGAGACTTTGCCTACATGCTTCCTGATTCTAATCCCAAGTTGTAGCCTACTGATCTGATCCCAAGAGCAACCTGGTACTTCCCTAATAAACCTCATAATTTTGAGTATTGTTTGTGAGTTCTGTGGCCACTGCAACAAGTTACTGAACCCAGTAGAGAAGTAGAGAGTGCTGTGGGAGGGATGGCTGGTGTCAGAATCAGAAAAAAGGGTTGGAGAGAGGAGGTTATATCTGACCTCCACCTCACAGGATGCACAGGATTCCCTCTCCTTCCCCTCGTGGAGTTAGATGAGGAGGTCTGACGATGCCACCATGCCAGTTTTTACAATTATAAAAATAAGAAATGCTTATGGACAAAAAAGTTCAAACAATGCTGACATGTACCAAGTAAAATGTGAATGATCTCCCTTCCAACTTCCATTTTCCAGGGACCACCACTGTCAACATTTTGGTGTCTATTTTTCTAGACCTTTGTCTGTGACCCTTTAATATGTAATTTTTTATTTCAGAAGGCTTTTTTTTTTGTTTTTTAAACAAAAATGGGATAATCTTATACATACTAGGCTACAACTTGGCATTTTTTTAAACTCCAAATTCTAGCATTGACCTTCTGTCTTCCATATGAGCACACACAAATCTACCTCAGTCCAATAATGGTTGAGAAATCCATAAAATGAACATAGTATTAGTCTTCAAACTGGCCCTAATTGATGTACTATAGAAAAAAAAAATTTGCTGTAATTTTTTTTATTGTGGTAAAATATATATAACAAAAAGTTATATATTCAGTGACATTAATACATTCACCATGTGCTACCATCACCACTACCTATTTCCAAAAGTTTTTCATTACCCCAAGCAGAAACTCAGTACACTTTCAGCAGTAACTCTTCATCTTCCCCTCTCCCAGCCCCTAGTAATCACTAATAAATGTTTGTCTCTATGCATTTGCCTAATCCAGATATTTCATGTAAGTGGGATCATACAATATTTGTCCTTTTGTGTCTGACTTATTTCATTCAGCTAGTGTTTTCAAGGTTCATCCGTGCCATAGCGTGTATCACAACTTTATTTCTCTTAACAGCTGTATTAAGCATATTGGATTTTTTTTTTTTAATATTTCATTGTGTTTTCTGTGGAGATTTACATAGTAGTTTAGGTTCCCATTCAACAATTTCTACACAAGTTGTTCAGCTGACACTGTCTGCATTCT